CACCATCAAAATGCAACTTGCTGTCGTTACGCAAGAAAATGCTCGTACTGCGTGTGAAAATATGAAACAACGATGGGATAACGATAAAGGAAAGAAAAAGAAGCGTGGGCGTAAACAAAAGACTAAATATCGCGTGGACGATCTCGTACGCGTCAGTAGAGCAAAAGTAACCTTCAAGAAAGGATACGAGGCGAAGTGGAGCGAGGAGATATTTCGAATTCATCGAGTTCTCGAATGGAGAAAACCCCGCGTATATGAATTAAGCGATTTATCGGGTGAAGTAATAGACAGAATTTTTTACAAACAAGAATTAGTACCGGTTATTAAAGACTTACGCGACGAGGAATTTATCGTCGATCGTGTGATAAAAAGCAGAGGACGCGGTAACAATAAACAATTATTAGTTAGCTGGCAAGATTATCCTTCTAAATTTAACTCCTGGATACCCGCTTCGAATTTAACTATTCTTCGAAATGAGGGCGAATCAATTTCTTCTGATTCTTCCAAGCAATAGCAGTATGCGCTATTTTCCCAACAATAAAACCTCGTCGTTTATTACGGAATTACCTCAATCGCTGCACTTACACGGTGAATGGGAAGTCGCGTTGAGCAAAATTTAATTCCCTAATACCTTTTTTCATATAAGGCGCGAAGAAAATATACTCAGTTTCGTCGATATCGACCCTCAAGTTAAAGAGAAAAATAAAAAAATCGAGGTGTTTCAATCCGAAACTTCGAAGGAAGCCGTAATACCGTGTGGCGTTTATAATAACATGGAAGAGTTCGTCTCCATGATTAATTCGTCATGCAAAAAAGTCGGTTCCCATTTTCGTTTGGAGCAAGATTTACAGGCGGTAGTATTTTGTTCTCCCTCGTGTGTCCTGCTGGTTGCAATCTGATTCATTATATGCATTTTCCGATAGACTTCTGCAAATGCTCGATTTAGCTGATTTTCTTTATAACGCTCCTAAGAAGAAAAGTCACTATTGTTCTATGCTCACGACATATAAACTTAATTCCAAAGAAAAATCTACTTCAATATTTCTTAAACTCAGTTCTTTTGACGAAAATGGAATACGTCGCGAGGGATTCTATAGTTACAAAGCGTGTAGTTTGGCGCTGGGTATTCCCGATAAACTGTTCGTTTATTGTGATATTTGCGAGCCTTACATAACAGGCGATGTGCAAACTCCTCTTCTCCTAATAGTGCCTGTCACGGGGGGAGGGCGCGATTACAAATTTGGAACGAATCAAGTGAAACATTTCTCACCTCCGCATTATATTCCGGTGCGCCTAACGAATTTCCGACGGATTGAAATCGATATAAAAGACGATACTGGAAAAAAAATACCATTTGAATCCGGCACGTTAACGGTGACTTTACATTTTAAACGTATCGATTAGATTTTTAAAAATACTCTGTAAAGATTTTTTCTTTATAAGAAAGAAGGGATTTGTCAATTAATATAGATTATTATTCGGAGTATTATAACGAATTACAAAACGGTGGAACTCACGGCGGTGGAATTCCACGAGTTTTTGTCGGTTTACCCTATCAACGAGGTCATGGAATAGGTAGTTTTCTCGGAGGAATGTTCGGACGTGTATTGCTTTATTTAACTAGAGGTTTAGGGGCAGTGGGTAAAGAAGCTTTGCGGGCCGTGGTTAATATAATCGCGGATGTTGAAAATAAAATGCCGTTAAAGGTAGTTGTCAAACATTATTTTGAACAATCGTGTAACAATCTTAAGAGAAAAGCTAGGGAAAAAATAAGTAGTCTAATGAAAGGTACGGGATATAAATCAGATGAAAAAAATTCATGTAGCGCAGTTTCCTTTCGGCGGGCTTAAGACTCACGTCGCTAAATCCTCGGAACCGCGTCGCGTAAACGGCATAAGACAAATAAAAAAAAAGTTTATCGAAAATCAAGTCGCGTGGGAAAAAAAGAACAAATACAAAAAAACTAAAAATAATACGAGGAAAAATTGTTCGACTGTAAAAAGACTCAAGTCGTCCGCGAAACGGCGTAAAGCTAATAGCGGTAAAAAGCGCACAGTATACGATATATTTTCATAATTGCCATTATTCTAAATACGTTTGTCCGTGACAATAACGTTGGTAGAGCGGGCGGCGATAGAAAAGAATGTCATTTCTTCACACACACTCGAGCGAGTGTTTAAAGAGCGAGCTCGAGCTCTTCTCTTTACCGCCCACACAAACTAGCATCGAAAGTTCACAATGGATTCATTACAAACCCGTGACCTCGCTTTCGGACGACTCCCCGCTAGAATTTGTTATCCCGGGTCACGGAGAAGAATATTTAGATCTCACATACACGTTACTAAGTCTTCGGGTACGCGTAGAAACCTCCGTCTCCGCAGCCGCCGTCAACGTGGGCCCCGTAAATCATTTTCTTCATTCCATTTTCAATCAAATTGACGTGTATTTCAATTAAAAGCTCGTGTCGCCTCCAAACAACGCTTATGCGTACCGCGCGTACATCGAAGAATTGTTAAATTATTCATCATTCGCAAAAACTTTTCATCTTACCTCATGCTTATGGGACGCGGATACACCCGGCCACATGGACGATACGGTAGGAGCGGAAAGCAATACCGCTATAGCAAGACGAGCTCGTTACATACACGGAGGGCGCGCGCTAGATTTTATAGGTCACCTCCATTGCGACGTTTTCAATCAGGATAAATTCTTAATTAATGGCGTCGAGGTGCGGTTGAGACTCGTGCGTTTGAAAGATACGTTTTGTTTCATAGAAACTAATTGCACGTCGAAAATTCGTATGCTCGATGCAAGCTTAATGGTGAGAAGAACGAAAATAAGCTCCGGAGTATTACTAGCGCATGCTAGAATGCTGAGCAAAGTTACTGCCAAGTATCCGCTTACGAGAGTTGAAATTAAAACATTCACGATTTACAGCGGGGTTGTTGGTGAATCGTTAGATAATGTAATACTGGGACAATTACCGAAACAAATAAAGTAGGTTTCGTCGATAATAAAGCGTTTAACGGTAACAGAAAATTGAATCCGTTTAATTTCCAAAATTACGGAATAAATTTTTTCTCACTTTACGTCGACGGTACACAAATACCCAGTAGACCGTTACAACCGGTTTTCTCGTCTCGCGAACCGCTTTACATCGAAGTTTATCATACGCTCTTTTCGGGGACGGGTATCCATTTTTTGAACGAGGGAAATTCCGTAAATGGAGATGATTATTCTCGGGGATATACGTTATTTACTTTTGATCTTACACCCGATCTATCCGCTAATTGCGCCGGTCATTGGAATCTCGTGAGACACGGAAGTCTACGGTTAGAAGTGAGATTCGAGAAGGCACTTACCGAAACAATTAATTGTATTGTTTACGCCGAATTCGATAATGTCAGAAATCGACGCATCGCGTCAAGTTATCGTCGATTTTTCCGGTTAGCTTTTATCGCTCGTTCACCAACATGTATTTATACACCGTAATGTAATACGCGATTAGAAAATTTTCCCTCTCCTCTTCTTTGGAAATTTCAATGACGCTTTTCACGAAGTGGAAACTATGTAACGTGCTAAAATGAATTCAGTTTTGTACGAGACACGAACAAACGCGCACGTTTCGCTAAGAGCTTCTACCTCACCAACAAAAATCTCACAATATGGACATAGTCGTCGACATACAAGGTTTCCGCGATGAAGCCAATAAATTTATCGCGAAGGAAGTCGCCGTTGTCGCAATCGATGCTCCGATTGTCGAGCATTGGATTATGATGCCACCATACGCGTTTGGAAAATTACCCGCAAAAGCAAGACAAGAAAACAATTGGCTCTCACGAAATTATCACGGTATCGAGTGGTCCGACGGCTCAGTTAATCCAAAATATTTTCACCTTTCGGGGCCAGTCGCCATTTTTTTTCCCCCAACACTCGCAGTCGGAAAAACCAGACGCTGGTGGTGGGGGAAAAGACAAGCCACGCCCACGGCGCCAGAGGGGCCGGTGGTGGGGATTTGTTTTGACGGGCCATACCTGCCACTATACTACTCTGTTTCTTCATTACTGTCACTTTTACTTTCCATTTTTACTTTCACTAATGCTTGACAAGCATGAGTTGATTGTTGATATTTTATCTCCTAATATCATAAAAGAAGATGAAACAGTAATAATTGAAACCAAACAAGATTCAGTGTCAGCGTCTATCACGTCCATGTTTAATGTATAAAGTGCATGAAATCTGTTCCGTTACTAGAAGACACATGGTTCATGCATGAAATGCATGAAGAAACGGAACAAATTCTGCACTTCATGCTCTGCGTAGGGCATTCATGCCTTCCATGCGCGAAACGAAACGCACCCCCTATGATTAAACGTTTTGTGCACCTCGGCTTCTACAACGCGTTCCTTTGTGTATCGTCTAATATCACAGGGATGGTCGGTCTCTATATCGCGATTAGCAAGTGGTTTATGTGCATCAACTTCCACGACTCGATTATTGTCGCGGATTATGGTATAGTGAAGGCGGTTAATTTCGCGGTTGATGGCATCTTTGGACACATTCATGGCACCGTTCGGCGGTATCTGCAACATGTTAACCTGACATTCGTTTGAATCGAAAATACTGTTGTCATATGATGTTAATAAAAACTCTCTGCATTGCAATATGTTACTGAGAGTTCGGCTCACGCGTACTTTAATTTTATTTTTATTTTCGATATTGGCATTGGTTTCTTTTTCCGCAAACAGACTTTCGTCAAAAGTATCAAACGGGAACTCGCTCGTTCGGTTATCATGTGAGTAGATAATTCTGAGTCGCTCTCGCTCGAATAATGTGCTTTTAATTTTATTCGTACCTTTTCGAGGGTTTCTAAGGACAGTGGCAATGCCTTTATTGCCCGCTCGGCTAAATTGCTAAACAGCTACGATTTATTTGCTATCGATTGCTGGGGGGTTTCGTGTTTCTCTGACATTCACGCAAATAATAAAATTCGAACTTACAGTATTACTGCTCGCATCGTTACGCTCTATACGGGTCGGCTGCTGCTGCTGCTGCAACTCGATCACTTGTGAGCTGATAACAGCTGCTCCATGTTGGTGATAGATACGGCGAATTGTCGCTCGTGGTGATGCGCTGCCCGTGAGGTTGTCGTAGTTTAGCGTTGTGATCCTTGGATGTTGACGATCCTTTTTGATCCTCAGCTACTTATCACTCGTTGCACTGCTTGTGTTGTCCGTTTTCTCTTTCTCTCGTTATTGCCGTGGCTTCTGCTTGCTTCCGTCAGCGTTATTGACTATTGACGTGCCCGTCTAACATCTTTTATAAATATTTTTTGTGTTTTTACAAGACTTTTTTCTATAAGGAAACCTCGGCGATCTCTGGCATACTACCGTTGCCACCAATTTGTTGTACCTCGGGTAAAGCACTTAGGGATGTAGGCCGGATTAGAAAGAGGACTTCCGAATTGTCGGAGTTTTCTCAATAATTTGTAGTCTTGATAGATTTTAAGTTCACTTCTTTATTCAATATATTGATATATAAACTCTATCAAGACTCTGAGTATGATTATTTCTAGACCTCGTGTGACTCCGTTTTTCTTTTTTACTTGCTTAACGCGACTCTCAATTTATTCGCGATGCGACTCTGATGTTGATCTTTTTGAACCCATTCTTTGTTCACTCCCGAGTTTTTACGTAAACTCGGTTTTGCGTTATTTCGTTTAGAAGAAGTGCCTGGCGACAGGCACCTAGTTGGTGAATAGTTTTTACATACGCGGCTAGATTTTGAGCGCAAAGCTGCTCGAAAGACGAAGCTCTTAGCTCGCGTCTCCGTGGTTTCCGGCCCGCTGCTGTATCAGCGGTCTCCTCGCGGAAAGTATAGTAATTCTATATTTTATATCCGCTATATTTATAATTATAGCCTTTCGGGCTATAACAATTTAAAATAATAAAATGTAATAAAATCTATTTTAAAATAAATTTTTATTTTTATGACGCAATATTTTGATATTATAATTAATTTGTAAAGTTTTCAATTGACATTTTATAAACAATTTTTTACATTAATTTAGAAATAACAGTTTTTTATATAACACTTTTGGATATTGAATACATTTGACGGTTTTTATTACTCTCTTTTAAAAAAGATAAGTTTTTATGAATATATAGCAAATAAATAGTAACAAATAAATAACACAACATATGTTATGCTCAATTTATATTTAACATATTTTGTTAACATATATATGTAATGAAATACATATGACTGCATGTATACATATGTAAGTTGTTGGAAAAATTAAAAATAACTAATTAATAATTTACTTATACAACTAAGTAATTTAATAATTAATTTATTAGTAGTAACTTAAATAACTAATTAATTCATATTAATTGTTTGATGTTAAGCTTAATTATTCTTTTTTTACCTTTAGTAGTATAACTTTTTTTATAAAAATCATAAAATAAATAAAGAAATATTAATATATTTCCCATAAAAAAAACAGCTACAACTGAATGAAACTTCTCTTGCACTTGACAAACTGGATTAAAAATTTGCAGACCGTATATTATTATTGCAATAAATTGTACCTAATTGCGCAAACAGAAAAATAAAAATGATACACATGCGCATTATATTGCTTATCGAAACATCAAAATAATTAAAATATATGTGTTTTAAGTGTAAAAGTATAATAAAATTTAATTTATAAAATATATATTTTTTTGAAAAAAATGACAGTCATCAATTTTTTTTTTCGAGAAATATCAACTTGAATTGCTGTATGTTTTATTACTATCATTTTATGTAAAGATAATTATGTAAGTATAATTATAATAATAATAGCTAATCACAAAAAAGAGAAACATGTATATGGAATATACATAATGCTTTTTACGATTCTGCACTGTCGAATGACATCTGATTATATTTTTCATCAAGTAAAAATCTTCATTGATTTATAGCTTAATGAGATCTGCAAAGAGCGTCATTGACAAAAGTTTGTTTGCTAATCTTACAAACAAGGATATTAATTTTCGTAAAGTGTATTTCTCACTTTGTATAGCTCAGGTGTATAAACTTCTAGCCAGTACATTATTACACATGCGTTTTATAATTACAAGCTCTTTGTCAAGATATTTCAGTTTTTTCCGTTCCTTATTATAAATGTATTTGTTTTTTTGCGGTGTTTTTATTAAACTGAGCAATTTGTCACCAGACATTCGGAAGATCTATTTTTTCCAACATCTCTTTGATATTTTTCAATCGTAAATACATTGCAAATAGAGAAGAAATAAAATGATGATTTAATATTTGAGTTTGTCATTATATTTAAAGCTTATTGTGCTATATATAATATACAGGGTATTCGGTAATTGTCGCCTCAACTGTCGTGTGTAGGTAGAGTGAGTTAAACCGAATAGGAAAGTCCTTTATTGTTTTGTGATTTTTGCAATAATTATTGAGTTATTAAATAAAAAGGATCGGCCAATCCACGCGAATAGAAGCGCGCGACGAGAAGAAATGTTCAACTATAACACGATACACGGAGCGTCGCTCCTCTCTCCGCTTTGCCGCGCGCTGTGTATCGTGTTACAGTAGGACGTTTCTTCTCGTCGAGATATATATTATTTATTAGATTTTAAAAAGGCTAACTTTGCTAATAAAAAAATATACTTAAAATTTACATGATTCACTTGTTCGTTTTTCTGTATTGTAATTCTTTAAAATTTTTCATGGTAAAGACAGTGTATTAATTTGAAATAATCCATTTTACAAAATATCAGTTTTTTAGACGCACCAGAATTTCAACCATACTCATTAATTTTATTCACATACAACCGTATAACCTTTGAAAATCTGTCATTACAAACGCGCCACAATAGTAAAACAGGTTAGCCATAAATAATAGAAGTTTTCAGTTCAGCAATGTATATCTTTGTAATGTATGTATTTTATTAATATTTATTTCTTCTGTGTGCTTTCTTTTAACTGAAATACAACTGAGGCAGTTTCATATTTACTTTTTAATTTTTGGTTGTAGGTTAGATATTTAATAATTAGGAATATAAAAATTGGCGTTATTGAGTTTAGATTGTTCGTATATTTTATCTTATTCGGTTTTTTAATATGATAACTCAAATTAATAATATATTCAACTAACAACCTTCTAATGTTAAAATATGTAGTTTCTTTATACGTGCGTATTTTATTTTTTTTTTTTAAACTTTTGAAGAAGACCATAACCCTTATGGTTGAAACGTGGTCAAAACGTAAAAATATAAACACCTATCAGTACTTGCCAGTGGGTCGATTTCACTCAAAACTTTTTATTCAATAATTAGCTTTTATCAAATCTTTAAGCTTGGTAATTGAAAAATCTTTACGCTCATTTATTTTTATAATAATTTAATTATTTTATAAAGATATTGTTAAGTTCATATCCACGTTTTGGTTTTGGAATAACAATTCTCTACATTCAACAATTTTTAAGATTGTTTTTAATTAACTATTCTAATTTCTTCAAATACCGTCTTCCTATTGTGCTTTCAGTACGCAGTAATCAAGTAGTTAGTAGTTCAAGTTGATATTTTTCAAAAAAAGGAATTGGGAACTTCTTTATTCATGATAAATATATTTTTTGAATAACAATTTGTATAAATATATACATATATTAGATGTATGCAAAAGTTTTAGTCATTTTTTTAGATTTTTGCTCCTTTTATAGATTATACAGAATGTCCCATTTTAAAAGACCCAAATATATAAACTCCGCATTACATTTTAAAGACCCAAATATATAAATACCGCATTACATTTCAACATTTTCACTGGGAAAATCCTACTATACTACACAAAGAGAAATTTTGGAAAAAAAGAAAAATAGCTGAAATGTATTTCATTAAAAAATCAGCGAATACTATTAATTTACAGAAAGGTACAGAAAAATTTATCACAGTATATGACTGTTTAAATGTTAGTATTAGTTTGTTTAATGTCAGTCTCGTTTATTTTGTTGTCGGATATGGACGTAAGTTTCAAACACGGACATATTAATATTATATATATTGCGACGACTTTTCTCGCCTCTGGAGCACCAAAGTGGCAAGCAGAGGTCGTCGTCAAAAAAGGAGAGAAATAATAGAAAATTGTTTATTCTTTAAAAATTCATACGCGGAAACTGAGGTTGATGGTCGCTCCGCGCGTGCCGCAGCAAAACGCCAGCCGACGGATACGCGAAAATGCTCTAATTTTTGGGCGCCAGACGCGATCTTTCACGCGTCAATTCGCGACACACTGAATAACACGAAAATCCGGCCGGAAGTTCCGCAACGGGCCGGCTGCTCACCTAACGGTAGAGGGGCAGGGTGTGATTGACGCGAAAGAGATACCAGAACGTGGACTCGAAGTAGGCGCGAGATTTCTTTTTCTGATCACCCGGTGTTGAAACGCGACAACACAAAAAAAACATATAATAATAAAGACGCGACGTGTAAGATAAAAAATTGATTCCGATGTATTACAATAATAAAATAAAAAAAGAAAAATAATACAAAATGTCAAGAATTTAACAAGGCTCTGTAATATAAATATAAATTTAAAGTGTAAGACAGGCAATAAGAGCCAAATCGCGGATGACAGTGCGTTATCCCAACGAAACTAAATTTTTTCGTTAGAATTAAATATCTGTGCACAAAGTACCAAATTTTACTTGGTCACGGCCAAGATTTAAAATCGGCAAGCAAAAGGTCTCGGGTTCGATTTCCGATTCAGCGACTTTCGGATCTATATTTTTCTCTCGCATTTATTTTCTTAGGGGGGAACAGGGAATGTATGGAAATAAATCTCTTGTAGAGATTATTCCAATTTTAAATCTTGGCCGTGACCAAGTAAAATTTGGTGCCTTGTGCACAGATATTTAATTCTAACAAAAAAATTTAGTTTCGTTGGAATAACGCACTGTCATCCGCGATTTGGCTCTTATTGCTTGTCTTACACTTTAAATACAAAATCTAATATCAAATAAATCGGATAACTCAGAGTCAGAGTACAAAAAAAGTGATCAGAAATATAATTTGAGTCGTTAGCGAGATTTGTAAGCAACGTAAAATCGGTTTTTACAGACTTAATATTGTTCAGGATGGAACAAATAATTTTGTCAATATTATGTCCGTTATTTTTATATCAAGTCATGTCCGATATTGTATCTTCTTCGCTGATGACTTGTTTTGTATTTTCGTCGTTTATTACTTGTTTGTGTCACCGTTTCAAAAGACAGGTCTTCTATTGTATTCTCCCTTCTCAATATTGAAGTAATCGTCAGCGCTCGTTCGAACGACCAGTCAGTCTTTTTCGAGAATCGAAGCGAATCTGACCGTAATAATCATCGATAAGAGTTAATCGAAATAATTGAAATACGCGATCGACGAAACGTGATCTACTTGTGCGGTTTGCTTATAACGCGTAATTTAAAGTGTAACAAACCCACAGTTGCAAATTTCGTCATATTTTCCTAATCGATATTAAAATTAAAGATTAGGATTCAGTGCTAAATAAATTAGTAATCTAACGACAAACAAAAGGAAAATTACGTTTTTGAATGTTCCTTTCTTTCTCCCGATTTCCTGTCCATTTCTGTAACGATTTTCGTGTTCCTCTCTCTTCCTCTCTCGGGCCCGCTCAGATCCCGATTCTGATCGTCTTCGATCTCTCTCTCTCTCTCTCTCACGTTCGCTCCCTAGTTTGTATTCTTTTTTTCTTTCCGCTTCCTGTGTCCTTCGCTCCTTCGAGCGATATCAACTGATTTCGTTCGTAGCCGAACTCTGTACTCTCGGTTCGCGAACAAATATAGAATAATAACACCGAAAAAATATGATACTAACAAATTTGACTCGATCCGCTACTCGCGCTAAGCGAGTGAATTCAA